CTCAGGGGTCGCATTACATCATCGGTGTACAATACCTCATCTTTTCCATAACGTTCTATACCATTAATTAAATTTAATTAATTAAACATAGGTTGTTTTTTATCATAGGAATAGTTGCTATATCAATATGGTCTAAAAGAAGTGAACAGATTCTAAGGAAAATGAGATTTATAGGGAGTCTATTTATGCACATGCCACCTTGGGATTAAGTTTGTAGAGTTAACTTGAAAATCATCAGCACATGTTAGCTAATTGCTTTTAATTAGTTGGTTAAATAGAGAAATAAGATCTCAGGGTAATTAATTCCATAAGTTAATGACTAATATTGTTAAGTCAAGGTCATTTTCATTTTAAGAAATTTTACCAAAAACTACAAGTCTACCCTCAATCACAAATGATGATATTTGACACAAAATTCTGGAAAATATGCTCACTCAAGTGAAAATTCCAAAAGGGATAGCCAGACATTTCAAGTTAATACACTATCTTGAGAGAAAATTACATCCAGAATGACATGTAGAGCTTCACAGACCTGCTCCCCAGCAAAACAACCATGACTGATAAAATTGAAAAAAAAAAAAAAGAAGAAATTTAAAAAGTCTGAAAATTTTTCTAAGGACACACAGCAAAAGAAGAAACATTTATTCAAGAAAATCTCCTAAATCTCAGTAAGAACAGGAAGACATATGGTAAGAGCACACACCTGGGACAGGTGCACGAGTGAAAGGAGGTGAAGACATATGTGGTATGTTGTACCCACTTACTTTTTATCCTTTTTATGCCTATCAGACAGAACCACAGAAAGAGACAGCCAAGAATCCTCCTAGGATCAGAACAAATCTCACAGCTGGCCTCAAAACCATTCCAGCAAAGGGGTCCAAATTTAACTGAACCAGATGTGGAGCAATTTATGCCCCAGGGCATTGTCAAAAACAATGAAGCAACCAGCCAGGAATTAGTGGACCTAAGAGCTAGGGTGTTTGTGAGGCAAAGAGCTTAGCAGAGAGATCGAGGAAAGAGACCACACGCAAGAGAGTCCTGTTACATCACTGTCATTCCAGGATGACTGTGCACATGCCCAGAATTGCAGTTCTCTTGAGAAGCTACATCATAGGCTTCACAGTGCATAGAATAATAGATGTGATAAAAAAAAAAACAAACAAGTCATTAAACAAGTAAACAAAGCAAACAACAACAAAAACAAGGGGGGGGGGGGGGGGAGTGGAGGAAAGGGGAGAAAATGAGCACAGGATCAGAGAAATATGGGACACTATTAAGTGTCCTAACAAGGGGTACCTGGGTGCCTCAGTTGGTTAAGTGTCTGCCTTTGGCTCAGGTCATGATCTCAGGGTCCTGGGATCGAGCCCCATAGCAGGCTCCCTGCTCAGTGGGGAGTCTGTTTCTCCCTCTACCCCTCCCCCTGCTCTGGTGCTCTCTCTCTCTCTCTCTAATAAATAAAATCTTAAAAAAGAAAGTATCCTAATATTTGCATAACGGGAGTACCAGAAGGAGAAGAGAGAAGCAGGAAAAAAAATACTGAAAGAAGGAATGGCCAAAAACATCCCAAATTTGATGAAATATTAATCTACATATCTAAGAAGCACAACAAACTCTAAGTATGATAAACACAAACAGATCTACACCCAGACACATCATAGTAAGAATGCGTAGGAGAGGGCAGGTAACAGGAAGGGCAGAAAAAAAAAAAGAAGAATTTGATAGCAGCAACATAAAAATGATTTGTCATGTAGAAGGAAACCCCATCAAGTTTAATGGCTGACATCTGGGACGCCTGGGTGGCTCAGTCGGTTAAGCATCTGCCTTCGGCTCAGGTCATGATCCCAGGGTCCTGGAATCGAGTCCCACGTCGGGCTCTCTGCTCAGCAAGGAGCCTGCTTCTCCCTCTGCCTGCCACTCCCCCTGCTTGTGCTCTCTCTCTCTCTCCCTAATAAATAAATAAAATCTTTAAAAAAAAAAAGTTTAATGGCTGACATCTCATGAGAAACAATGGAAACAGTGAAGGCCAAAAGGCAGCGAGATATCATACTCAAAGTGCTAAAAGAAAAAAAAACTGTTAATCAAGAATCTTATATACAACAAACTATCTTTTACACATAAAGGTAAAATAAATATATTCCCACATAAACAAAAAGAATCTGTTGCTAGTAGACTTGCCTTACATGAAATCCTTCAGTTTGAAACCAAGTGACCCCAGACAACAATATGAATCCATACCAAAAACCAAAGAGCACTGGTAAAAGTAATTATGTAATTATAAAAGACAGGATAAGTACATATTTCTTCCACTTATTATTTAAAAAGCAGCTGTATAAGACAGTATTATATAATTGCACTATTAGGCTTACGACATACAGAAATGTAACATATTTAACAATAATAACATATAGGAGGTAGGTGAAAACAAAGTAAGAAACTGGAGTAAATTACACAGATGGCAATGTGAATCTACAGGGCCAAATAAAGAACCAGAAATGATAAATAAGAAGGCTAACTTTATGAGAAATTCTATAAAGAAGAAATTCTATGTGTCCTTTCTTTGCTTAGCTTCTTTAATAGACAGACAATTCTATAAAGTAGTAATTATAACAATATATTGTTGGATTTGTAGGGTATATATATGTAATATATAAAACAATAATAGCACAAAAAGGAAGAAGAGTGAATAGAGAAATGTAAAGGTAGTATTTCTGATCTCACTGTGATCAAGTTAGTATAAATCTGAAGTAGATTCTGATGAATTACATGTATATGGTAAGCTCTATGGGGCACCTCAGTGGCTCAGTTGGTTAAGCATATGAGTCTTGGTTTTGGCTCAGGTCATGATCTCAGGGTCATGGGACTGCGCTCCATGTCAGGCTCCAAGTTCAGCATGGAATCTGCTTGGGATTCTTGCCCTCCCTCTCCCTTTGCCCTTCCCCCTGCTCATGCTCTCTAAATAAATAAATACAATAAACTTAAAAAAGAACATATATGGCAAGCTCTAGAGCAGCCACTAAGAAAATAAAGTCCAAAGAAAGTAAAAGAAAAAAATTATTAAAGTAATTGAAATAGTACAATGGAAAATATTCACTTAATGCAAAAGAAAGCAATAAAGGAGGGTCAGAAGAACAACAAAGATATGAGACATGTAGGAAACAGAAAGTAAAGTGGCAGACACAAATCCAACTATATCAACAGCAACACTAAACGTGAATGGGTTAAACAATCCAATCAAAAGTCAGAGAGATTGTCAGGCTGGATGAAAAAACAAGATCCAACTTTAAGTTGTCTACAGGAGACACACTTTAGATTCAAAAATACAAATACACTGAAAGTGAAAGAATGGAAAAGACAGTATTATATGGTTGCAAATAGCAACCATAAGAAAGCTGCAATAGCTATACTAATATCTTACAAGGTACTTTTTTAAAGCAAAACAGATTTCTAGAGATAAAGAAGGACATTTTATAATAATATAAGGAGAACTCCCTCACAAAGATATGAAAATTATACATATATGCACCTAGCAATAGAGCCCAAAATGCCTGAAGAAAAAGCTGACAGAAATGAAATGAAAAATAGATAATTCAAAAATAATAGTTGGAGCCATCAATAGCCTATTTTCAATAATAGAAATAGGAAGATCAACAAAATAGAATACGTGAACAACATCATAAACCAACCAGACCTAATAGACATCTACAGAACACATCAACAACAGCAGAATACACATTCTTCTCAAGTGCACATAGAACCATCTCCAGGATAAACCACATGCTAGGCCATAAAACAAGCCTCAAAAGATTTGAAAGGCTTGAAAACATGCAGAGTTAGTCCTCTGACCACAATGGAGGGAAATTATATATCAATAACAGAAATTTGGGAATTCATAAATATGTGGGAATTAACCAACACACACCTAAATAATCATTAAGTAAAAGAAGAAATCACAAGGCAAATTAGAAAATATTTTGAGATAAAGAAAGCAAAAACATAGCAAACAAAACTTGTAAGATGCAGCAGAAAGCAATGCTTAGAGAAAATTTTATAACTGTAAATGGCTTTATTTAAAAAAAAGATCTCAAACCAATAACCTAATCTTCCACCTTAAGATATTAGAAAAATCACAAACCAAACCCAAAGCGAGCAGAAAGGAAATAATAAAGGTTAGAGAAGAACTTAATGAAATAGAGAATAGAAACACAGTAGAGACAACCAACAAAACCAAATGCTAGTTTTTTGAAAAAGCGACAATATTGGCAAGCCTTTAGCTCAACTGACCAACAACAAAAAAGACTCAAATTATCTTAATTGACAAAACTTCTGAGGACAATTATTACTTTATACATCATCAGGTACATTAATCATCATGAATCAGAGACACTTTCAGATGTGTAAGCTATGTGAAAAAGCACTTCAGCTTGTTGCTTTTTTTTTTTTTTCCTGTTAGGTAAACAAATCCACCCTAAATTACATTTCAAGATCCGTGAAATTTGTCATTTATCTCAAGTTAACTTCCCCCTACACCCCAACACACACACACTTTTGCTTTGAGAGGCTCCTTCCTCAACTTCAGGGCCCATTACATACCTTTCTTTCCCACACCATCAAAGCAGGATAGATTTGAGATCAGTTATTTGCACTTGTGTTTACAAATTACACTTTCAAATTCATTCCTACACAAGCATACGCTCACCAGCATTCATATTCTGAGTCTGAGGTACCGAAGTGTGGAAGGAAGAAGGGGTTTCTTATATTAAAGATTAGTAAGCCTCCACACAACCTTGCCAATGGCTACCACAAGCTGAAATCAAGTAGTTCATGTCAGCCTTTTGACTCAAAACATAGATGGTAAATAAATTTGATTGCTTCAGTTAAAAAACATTGGAGGGAGAAATATGGGCAACTAGATATTCCCCTACAGGTCATTTGAATTGTTATGTTTATTTTGTGTTTTTCAGGGACAGATGATAGGAGACTACAGGAAGCAGCAGAAGTCCAAGACGATCCCCTAGCTGCTCAGTACCAAGTGCATCAGGGCAGAGGCTGGGTACCTGCACCCCGCTTTCAGGCCCCAAACACAGGCTCTACCAAAGGAGTTCCAGGGCGCCTTTTGACTGGCTTCTCATCCACAAGAAAATGAAATCTTTGGAGGTCATCTTTAGATGTCAACTACTAATGAGGCAACACCTACGACCCATGTTCAGCGTGTGTGGCATGTTTTAGTCGAAGAGAGAGAAGTCTTTAAATATGCTACAGTCTTTGCAACCATGCTTTGCCATTTCTTCATTTTTGCATATGAGAACTACATACAGAAAGGAAGAATCCAGGGCTTCTCTCCACTTCTCAGAGGCTCTGCCCGATGCTGCCCTCCTGTGGTGCAGGTTCAGGGCGGACCCCAAACCTTCACAAGCCCCCACGCTTTTCCTCACTCTGCTGCAACGCCCATCCTTTCTCCCCCTGCCCAAGGTTCTACCAGGATCTTCCTTTGCTGCCGTTTTCAGGGATACTCGGTGTGATTTTTATTTGTATTTAATGCTTTTGTTATTACAGCCTCTACCCAACACATCTAAAATCTACCCAACACATACTGCTTGCACCTGTATGATTTCTAACTTGGACATTGTGCATCCCCAAATCCCTCCAAATTAGGACTATGAAGTCTTTGGTTTTACAATAATTATAACAACAAATAACATTTATTAAGTACTTGCTTTGTGCCAGGCACTCTACTGCTTTACATAAATTATCTCATTCCGTCACATCTAACTGCTTCTAAGCATATGCTTACATTTGCCAGTAGCACTTAAAATTTAATTAAAATAAAGATATTGTTGATTATCTTGGAAAGCAATGTCTCAACATACTAAAGTCCATAGAATAAAATATTTTAAGGTCTTACAAAATGTACAACACTAAGTTATTATAGGATACTATTAAATTTATGTTTCTATCATGGAAAATAAAGCTGTTTTCTGGTATGTTGTACCCACTTACTTTTTATCCTTTTTATGCCTTTCTCAAACTCCTGGAAACCAGAGCTTCTAATATGTCAAATAAATACAATTAGATTCATACATTCAATTTGATCCTTTGAGAAGTATATAAAGTGACTTTGTTCTTGCATTAACTCCCAAATTGTTTTGCATAATAACCAGCCTGACATTAATTGTGGCATGAGGGCTGAAAAACAACATGAGATATGACTTTCACTAATCCTTCACATTCCATTTTCAAGCATATGCTGTTCCTGATCAAAACTCTTATTTATTATCAAGAATTACATTATTCTCTGAATGAGTGAATTTTCTCTTGGAGACAGGAAATGAAGGATCGCTAACACTGGGAGTGTATTTTTCCTGTCTCAGTATTAATACATGATATATATTCATATTAATAACTCTGAAAACTAGTTTCATTGCGTCTACACATAAGCAATAAACAGTATGTGCAAAAATCTGAATCCTAGCAGCAGTGGTGTGGATATAGAATATTGGGTTTCTTTTGAAGGCACAGCCATTTCTAATATTTCATTAGAGCATGTGTAGAGGCAACTGTCACAGATGTCCATCAAAGCTGGGTTGGATGAAGACAAACAATGCAGGCTTTGAGGATAAACTGTAGCTGCAGCTCAAAAGTTTCCGTTTCTCATCGAAGGGCACTATAGGATCATTGTCTTCCTCCTTGAGGCAAAAAGAATGAATCAATTATGTTACTGACATCCCTCCACAGCAGACCGAAAAGTCTTTTTTGCAGTCCCACAAGAGACAGTGAGAACAAGATTTCATAAGAAAATGTGGAAATTTCAAAAATATCTACATGCTCAAGTTTGTCATCTCTGCAATTTTTCCATAACGTCTCCCATCATTTTATTTCTGTGGCAGAATCTACTAGTGTAAAATTTCACAGAAGTATTTTCAACAGAAGTAAATGCTTGAACTACTAAACAAAACATTTCTGTACCATGTTTAATAATAAGATTCAGCTTTAAGTTATTGTCATTAATTTCATGTATATTAATCACAGATGGTAACTGCTTGCACACAAAGATCACTTCTTGCTAGCCCCCAAATAACTTTGCAATTCTATTAAGTAAATGGATAAATAATAAATACAAAATAATACATGAAACAATAGTCTTTTTTGAGATAGTGAATTTCCCATTTAGGAAAAAAACAGCTAAGATTTTAGTTCAATAACATCTATTCGTGTTGCCAGTGATGGGAGTGGCAAAACCAACTTTCATATAGTTGCTGCACGTTAACTGGTCCACTTTTTGGGGACAATAAATACCTATTAAAATTCAGATTGCATATACTTTCTGACCTGAAATTACATTCCTAGAAGTTTATTGTACAGATATAACCATCCAATCATATGAAGATTTTATGTCGGGATATTCACTGCAGCAATTAAACAACTTCCTTCCTTAATAAAGTATAGAGTAGGACACAATAGAGTACTTGCAAAATGTCCACATAGGCTATGTGTGTATGGATGTATTGTACATACACACACACGTCTGCCCACATATGCAAATGTACATACAGATACATGCAATTTCTGGAACAATTTATTAGAAAGTATTTGTAATGTGGGGTATATTTTTCCCAACTACATTTCAAAAAAGATATAGTCCTAATCAAATCTTTAAGATCTCAGATAGAACTTCAAAGGTAAAATAGGACTTTGTGTATATATTTGACAATTATAACCCAGCAAATTTTAAGTCAAAGTGACTCACATGAAACTGATAATCAAAATTGTGAAGCCACAGCATTTCTGAGCTAAAAGGAGCCTAAAGGTCATGATGTATACATTTTCTGCAAAAGAAAAATAACCTGGAGTTCCCCATTTCCTAAAATGTGTTCCACGCAAGCAAAAATTAGTTGGAAAAATGAATCCATGTTCAAAAAAAAAAACAAACTGGAAACTCTGGTTAAATACAGTAACATATGGTTCTTATATGTAAAACCACCTCAGAGTTCTTATATAAAAAACCACCTAACATGCTAATGTGCACTGTAAATCTCCAAAAGAAGGTTACAATATCCAGGATTCTCCAAATTTGTAGACTATCAGCTCTTGACTTAACAAACACCTTAATGGGTATCTTAATGGCTCCGCAGAACACTTTTGGAAAAGGCTAGTCGACAGGAATATATATTCCAAGTTTACCAGAGTAATGAAATTTCATTTTAAGAATATATGAAACCATTCTAAAAATTAAACTATCATGGTCCAAAATACCAATTAAACAAAAGATAGTTAATATGCAGTCTCCGTAATCATACAAATTCAGGTCTTAACACAAAGCATTTTAACACTGAACGTTCATACACCCAGAGTGCAACAGATGCACATGCCCATTGGTGTCTCATTCATTTTGAAGTTCTAAGGGTCTGATGTAAATGGTTCTCAACAGATGCTAAGTGAATTCTAGTCTACCAGAGTGTGGACTCTTCCTGGTAAATTTAGGTACTCACCCTGCTAAAATCTCCCTCAAGAAGAAACTTAAAGATAATAATGCCCCCTGCTTGTTGGGCTTATTCTCCTCTACAAGGCACTGTGAGGATGATCTTTATGTTAGCTCCCCCCAAAGATGGATGCTTGATCTTGTTCACTGCAGAGACTAAGTTACCTGGGAAAATACTTCAATCGATCACAATCTGCAGTATGGATTTGGAATCAGGGAGACCAAGGTTCAAATCCCAGCTCTGCTGCCAACTTGCTGTGAGATTTTAGGCAATCTACTCGCCCCTTCTGAGCTTCAGATGATAGCAGAACCAGACAGAACCTCACAGGGTTGTGTGAGAATGTAATAGGACAACAGACAAAAGGTGACAACAGTGAGTCCCGGGCACATAATTGAGCTACTAGTGAGGATTTCGGTTGATTCTACAGACATCTCACTAGCATCCATAGCATGTGTTCAAAATTTACTTTTCAGAATTTCAGAGGAAGTTTTCATGGAAGGAAATTATACTTGATCTCATCCACAGTGTTCCCAAGGTCCAACGCAGTATCTGGCCCACAGCAAACACTCCAAGAAAATCATGTGTGTGTGTGTGTGTGTGTGTGTACATACATTAAACAGTATAACAAAATGACAGGGGCAAATTTATTATATAGTTTTATTTAATTTTTAAAAATTTGTATCAAAATTACACATTCGCATAAGGGGTTAAATAGTTTTAGAATGTTTCTTATGAAAACTAGCAGGTCTCTGTCTCTTATGCCACCAATTTCCTCAACTCTTTTAACTGAGTATTTTATTTACACCAAAGAGCTAAATAGTGTAATTGTATTACTCCTTTTCAATTTTTAGTATTGTCTCTTGACTTTCCCCATGGAGAATGAAGATTTGACCCTCCTTCCTCCTGTCAGACACCCCCCCACCACATACACATACACACACACACACACACACACACAACCCACATGCATATAAACCCTTCCTTCACTCCATCCTTCCAATACGGTTATGTAGTAACTTTGGCTGGATCAGTTTCTGTTCTATTCTTTCCATTATTGTGACGATGTAAATCTTATCCAGAGCTGAATTATGTGTATTAATGTATCACTTTCTTCCTGCACTTCTTTTCCCCTCCTGGAGTGAATAACCGTAATTATCTTGGGGTTTTTCCACCTTAGTTTTCTATGTACTCAAACCAAAGCTACCTCCCAATCCTCGGATACTCAGGAAGTTAAAGGCATATCATGCAATCTATCAATTTCATCTTCTTGGAGAAAGTTCTAGAATCTTCTCATTTGCTCATATCTGGACTCATGACTCTATCCCTACAACCCTACTTCACAAACATTCTGGGCATCTCCTTTGCTGGATCTCCTGGTTCCCAAATTCCCCATCTGTTTTCTCCATTTTGGTGACACGTACCTTCTAGTAGCTTCCTAGGAAGAAATCTTCAATGATCTTGATATTTAAAAATGACTACTGTAAGTTTGACTGGGTAAAAAATTCTACATGCGTTGTAATTTTACCTCAGAATTCATGCTTGACGTTTAGCTTCCAGTGTTGCTATTAGTCTGATGTTCAAATTCCAGTTTCTTTCAATGTTTTTTCTCCCTGTAATTCCTCCCTCTGTGTCTAGGAATTTCACAATGGTAGTGCCTTGCATTTTGATCAACCGTACTGGAAATTCAATCAAACTGTAAATGTATGTCCATGAGTCCTGAGAAAATGTTTAAATGATTTTGTTGCTGCTTCCTCTCCTCCATTTTCTCTGTTCTGTCTCTTGTTTTCTGATTATTTGGATAATGGACCTCCTGCACGGGTTCTCCAATTTTCTTATTTATCTCCTGGTTTTGCTCTATTTTCTAAGAAATTTCAGTTCTGCTTTCTGATTCTACTATAAAAGTTTTCCTTTCTGCTATCATGTTTTCGGTTTCCAAAAGTTTTTTAGAATATTCCTTTTCTTCACAGCATCCAATTCCTGTTTCATGGCTGCAATCTCTTCCCTCACCTCTCTGAAGATATGAATGATCACTTTTTTGAACTTTTCCTAAGTATTTATTTCTTATATCTTGCCTTCTATTTGTTTTGGGCTCTGCTGTATTTTATGCCTTCTTCAAATGTCTGTAACTGTTCATACCTAAGAATGGGAACTACCACTATAAAAACAACAACAACAACACAACAAAAATCCAGAGTGGAGGCTCTGAGCACACAGAGGGCACTTATTTATCTGTCCTGCCTTCACCATAGAAGTACCAGCTGGGCCATTTCATTAAAAAGTCCCTGGGGTTGCTCAGATTCACCAGAAAGACCCTTCCAGGCCCCAGTCTATAGAGTAGAGGATTTTCTGCCAGTGTCCTGGAGGCCAAGTGGGGGAGGAGCAAACACAAGACATGAGGATATTATTTATTCTATTTTTCAGAGAGGAATCCTGATACTCAATTGCACCTAGGTCCTCTAATAGGCAGATTCTCTCTTCATCAGCTTTTAACAACTACACAGGATTTCAGCCTCCTCTCAATCCAACTTCTAGAGATTATCTGTTGCCACCAATTCCTGAGATTTTGAGAGATTATCACGTAAACAGGCTTGTTCCTCACATCTGCTAAGTCTATTACCTCACAACCATCTGCTTCCAGCTTCCAAAATATTTTTGCTGCTGTCTCTTTTGTTTTCTCTATTCTTGGAGGTTTGTGCACTTAAAAAAAAACACACACACAAAAACTTTTCCTGTTATTTTAATGCAATTTGTGGTGGAAACAAAATTAATTGCCTATGATCAATGGATTATCATTATTTGATACAAAAGTTCTTTTTTATACATTTGTGTATTTTCCCAAGTTTCTACCATAACTATATTAATTGATAATCAGAATATATATTTATTCAGAAAAACCATCTAAAGAAATGATACTTTCAATATACAAAGGCAATCAGACTGACTTGTTCCCCTTTGGGACTTCCTCCAAATACCCATTTATGTATATATAAAAAATAAGAAAACTTAACTCTAAAAAAAGAATGTTCTATTATACAATGATCACTGTTCATAACGAGACCCTGAAGTATGGCCATATCCTAAGAAGTCCTCTAAATCATCTGGTATTTCAGTATAATTGTAACAGATGCTATCTTTCACATGTGAGTATTTCTGAACCTTAAATTACCTTCTATGAAGAGACCCTAGGAAATGAGTGCAAATCAAAT